AAAATTTGTTTAATGATAAATTTCAATTTTTTTATCAAATCAAAAAATTAAATAAATTTCTACACCACTTATATTAGTTTTTCAATATATATTCACCATGGATAAAATAAAAAGTAAAAAAAGGAACGTATTTTCTGCAGTGTTATATAAAACTGATATCTTAAAATTATGAAATGATATTAAAATATTATTAAGCACTCAAACTATCAAATAATTGTAATTGTTCCAAATAATTTTTGAATTAATTTCTAAACAGCATATGCAAAAAAAGCATGCAACATGCAATATATTTCAAGCATGCATAAAATAATTACCACCACAAATTGCATGCAATTCACTGAAATCGTTCAAATCGTTATTTGCCAGTTACAGTAATGACATCAAACGAATATAAGACGTAAACAATTGCACTAATTCAATCATATAAACATAACAAATGCACAAAAAGACAAAAACAATTAACATTAAAAATAAAAAAAAAAAAGATCCACGTAAAAATGCATACTTTGCAAATTTTTGGAAAATCTATCATTTACATTCCTTACAAACGTGTTGCAAAAATTATCAGTTCGGTGTAAAACTGAATGATAGCACTTAATCATAAAAATTCGTAAAATGTGAAAATTTTTTCCCAAAAAAGAAAAAAAACAGATTAATAAAAAATCAAAAAAAAAATAAAATGAAATAGTAACATGAAATGAATCACCTCTTCATATTTTCGATCTGCTTCATCAGCAATTATTTTTGCTTCATCAACTTGTATTTCTAAAACATTTGCGCGTTCCTCATCCTGTTGTGATCGTGTTTCCATTGATTTACGAGCACTATGATAAAAGAAAAGGAAAAAAAAAAACAACAACAACTTATCACAAAAAAAAGACAAGGACGTACAACATATATTTGGTTAAATAATATTTATTTACTTAGAATATAATAATTTAGTAAATTTAGCAATAATTTATTTGGTACTTCTATTGGGTTATTTATATTTAGTTAGCTTACTATTAACAAATAATCATAAAAGCTTGTGCTAAAGAGTAGGAACAAAAAAAAAATTATTTCGCTGTAGAAAATATTAATAATACATAAAAGTTCATATTTGAGATTAGATTTAAAAAAAAAAAGGAAAATACGATCAGTTTAGCAAAAAGTTGGCAGTACAAAAAAAATCAATTTGAACTTTTTGAACTTTCAATATGCATATTTAGTATATATTTGCTTTATGAATCGTTTATGTGATAAACATTTAAATTAGTAATTGTTTTTGTTTTTATAAGCTCTCCGATTGTTAGCTCACTTTTTAAATTAAAAAAATTAATTTGATGAAAAAAGAAAAGTATGAGTTACATTGTATGTATATTCAAGCAAACCAATGCAAAAAAAAAGGCTTGACCTCAAACCAAATTTTCTTTTTATTGTTTCTAAAATTTCACAAATATGTTATTAATCGTGCTATGCTGTGCTATATTTACGAAAAAAAAGAAAGAAAAAAAATAAAAAATAAAATGAGGAAAGAAATTGAGAATGGTGAAAAAAATAAAAAACAGGGAGGCTGAGGAGGCTTTTTTACGAGGAATAATGGATAAATTAAATTACTGATATCAACTGGCTGCCGTTTCGGTTGGCTTCTCTTTTTTTTTGGTTTTTTTTTGCTGGTTGAACAAAATTTTCTGGAAAATTCTCATTGAAAACATTCCAAAAAATTTTGCTACTATTCAGCACTGCGGAAATTATTTCGCTGACCGTTCGGATTCATCAGCTGTATGAGTTGCTTCTTCCAATTTATCCGTTGCAATCTTCAAACGTTCTTCCGCACGTTCCAATTCCTCTTCCAGAAGTGTCATACGACGATTCAGGGCTGCTACCTCAGCCTCCGCCTACAACTTGTTACTTTTCTCCTTTTATATCTTCTTCACATTCCTTCCTTCCTTTCTTCCTTCCTTCCTTCCTTTCATTCATCTATTCGATACTATCTTCTAACCAGAAGAAGAAATACAAAATTACAAAATAATATCCCTAACATCCTAAAAATCCTATTAAAAAGAAAACGAGAAAAAAGAAAAAAAAAGGAAGGCAATATCCTCCTAAAGATCCTACATAATAATTATTTAATTCTTAAAAATTTAGATTTTTCATACCGCATTCATTTAGTTAATATTTTATGCTCAATTATTTATTGTAGACATTTTTTTTTGCATTATTTATGAGGTAAAAAAATCTTTTGAAATTTTAGATTAAAAAAAATCTGTATAACTTAATTTAATCGTATAATATATAGCTGTAAGTGCTTTTTTCAAGT